AAAAAAGAAGCCGATAATTCCAGCTTTTCCTGCCTTTTCAGCCGCTTCAGCGATTCCTGGTCTTATTCCCTTGCGCTCCCAGGAGATGCACCAGCCGCAACTTGAGGTATGGGGGATATACTTCAAACCATAAATCAACATAATCACACATTATATTCAGATTCAAACACATCCTCATTACTGAAAAAGATGTTATTCCCTCTCCGCCCTCTTTTATTCTCACAAATAAACGCAGCCGAATCTCTGTGTCTGCAGGGTGTTTATCACAGAGCCCCATTATTACACATCGTGCTCTTATGAGCTGAGAAGTAACTTTATTCTTGTGTTTTCTTTTACCTAAATAATCACAAATTCTTAATTCAGTTCTTAAGTACACCCATCAGGGACAAACATGGATAGAGAGGTGTACTTGGAAAATCCAGCTGTGTTGGCTCAGCTGAAAAATAACGCTGGGACGTGGGCGTAGGTGGCAGAGGTGGGGGTTTTCCCTTCCTCGGTGGTTTCTTAATATTTCTTTTATACCATCAGAGATTCAGGTCTCATCTGCTTGTTCTGAGATCATCGGGGGGGGAAGCCCACGGTGGTAGAGCTGGAAGGGGTTATATAGGGCGGGAGGTGCGGGGCTGCTGCAGAGCTCGGGGAGACGGTTCCTGTCCCGGCACCATGGGCCGGCTCCTGCAAACCCTCTGCTTGCTCCTGCTCATCTCCTCCTGCCCCTGCGCCGTCATCACCGGGGTAAGTGCTGGTCTCATCCCCAACCGGGGAGATTTTTAAATTTATTTGATTATTGTGGGCAATAAGGCAGGAATCGATGCCTTTTCGCTGTTTGCTTGGGGGGTTTTCCCTCCAATTTTTTACTCGTTTTTCTGATCCGTGGATGCTGTTCCGGCAGCCAACTCCAGCCCACGTGAGTGTAAAGTCACGCCGGCGAGCTGCTCTTTCTGCTTCTCTTCTCAGCACCGTGTCAGACCTGGCATGCAGGGGAACGGGGATTTTAGGAAGTTTTCCAGCAGGGAAAAAATAATGTAGCTTTATGGGCATCCCCCAGAGCGTGTTCACAACTGGGACAAGGGCTCGAGCACCTCAGATTGTCTCTCTCTCTCCCGAATGAAAAGAAATTATTAAAAGAGGGGGGAAATGTCGGGATCCAAAGGAGAGGCACGACGCTTACCCTTTAACGGGCTTTTGGGGCTCAGCGTGTCTGAGAGGTCGGTGCTGCTGAGCAAGAGCTGGACCAAGGGTGATGCTAAAAGCAAGAGGAACAGCGAGTTTTGGGCATGAAATCCAGGCTTTTGTCGTGCTTCAGGAGTCCAGATGCTGGTTTCAGCAAAGCCAGGCTTGGTTAACACCCTCTCCCCCTTTTTTTTCCCCCCTGGCAGCAAAAAATCTCCTGTTTAAAACCAAGACGAAGCGTTTGCATCCCGGCTGCCTCTCTGCCTCCCAGCTTTTCCCAACCGATGGGAATTTTCTGGCTGACTTCACCTGGCTCTTGGCTCCCCTTTTCCCAGACACCCTTTAACATCAGACCTATTTCTTTCAAGCCTGTGATTTTTTTCCAGCTGCATCTCCCCAACCCCTACATACACCCAGAGCTGCAAAGCCAGGGCCGGGGGAGCCCCCTCCATCCAGGGCCAAATAGACCCAGCAGCTCCTGAAATTATTCCCAGGCTTTAAATGACTCATTTTGCCTATCCAGAGAAAAGCAGTTGGATGTGCAGCTCCCTGCTTGCCTGCAGCCCCCCTCAGCCCCCTCCCCGAGTTTGCAGGTGAGGGTGCAGCATTGCTGAGATCTGATTTTTAACAGTATTTGGGTGTTACGAGGTGCTTTGAATGATCAAGGAGAATTAGGTTTCCTTCAGGAAAGGGAAGACTCTGCAAAAGCTCCTTATTCCCCCCCCGCGAGAGAGCTGCACCCCAAAATTATATGGTTTTATTTCCCCTGTTGTGGTTTCCACACCTCTTCATCTGTAGGAGCGATGGGCTTGTGGCTGGGACCTCCTGGGAGAGAGGTGCCCCAAGGAGGGGGTGATGCCAGGGGGGGTTTGGGTGAGCCCCATCGGTTCTCCTTGTGCGACCAACGTGCTGTCAGGAAAACGGGTCGGAGAAGGGTTTGGGGGCGCGATGAGCTGCTCTAGTGATGGTCAACACAGCCTGGGGGGCAAAATGGGACCTGCTTGGTGCTTGAGGTGCCCCCCGTCCACCTCTTCTCAGCATCCTCATGGGTTTCCAGGGTGGTGGTGAGCTGGTGCAACGTTTGCATTCGTGCCTCAGTTTCCCCGTCCCGGGGGAAGAGGTACTGTTTTCCATTTTACATCTGCCTTGGGTGGGAGAGGCTGAGTTGTTGGCGTTACTCTGCTCCCTACTAACCGCCACAGCAAAAAAGCCCTGGCATTTGCAGTACTTGGCAGGTTTTACAGCCCCAGACGGGCGATGCCTGTACACGCCGGAGAGTCCGGACCGTGAGTCGGTGTCCTGGCTGCGATGGCACGAACGCTGCGGCTCTGGCACCACTGCGGCTTTTCAGCTGGGCAGCTGCGAACTTCTCCTCTGTCCCTCCCATCGCTGCGTACACGAGGGATTTCCTGCAAACCCCAGCACCCCCAATCCAACCCATGCCCTGCCCCAAAACCTCCCAAACCGAACCCAAAACGGGAGAGCTAGGAAGAACAAACCCCTCTCCCCCAAATCCCTGTCAAGGGGTTACACTCAGTAGCTTGGTGTGGGCTGATTTCTCCCCTGAACC